GTAAATCGAAAATCCATTTGAATAAGTGATTTGATCGTGATTGGGAATACATCTTTGCGATAAATTGAAAGGCAACTGCCTTACAAATAGAGCATCATCTTGAAAGTTTTTTATTCCATCTCGAAAATGCCCTTTAAGCTACCTTACGGTTAGTGTACCCTCAAGGATGCCAAATTCAATATAGTTTTTCAGAAAACTTAGCTACTACGGCGAAGAGTTTCAAAAGGTGCAAAAGCATTTACCAGCATTGCTATCTTGTTTTTTCGCAGTATTCAATTTCAGAATTTTCAAAAACAGATGGACACGAAATCAAATCTCTATATAACTTCCTGATTAAATCAGATTTTTGCACCAATAACTAGTAGAATATTCTATCGACTCCTTTAGCGTGCTTATTTGGAAAGCAACATATTGTAATATATTTAAGCGGTATGTTAACGTCCTTAGTTCCAATCAATTAATTGTTCATGCGAGAAAACAGCTATGGTGTTCGCGCGCTTTTGTCGGCGCACCACTTCAACTATATTTCCGGTTGCTGTCACAAAAACATACGTAGACTAAGCCATGGGAAAAAGTACAACTTGTTGAGCGAGTCAAAAACCATAACGCGTAAGCCTACGGTGAAGTTCGCGGATGACGCAATGATATCAAAAAACCGTGCAGAAGAAAAACCTACTGGAAGACCTTGAAAGATCGCAACTGGTGCGCCACGATTATTCGAAGATGAGAGAATGTGACCTCAGTTAACGTTGGCAATTGTATGGACTATGCAAATTAAGCAAACGGTTGGAGCGAACCGTGATCAATAGAAAGGAAGTCGTGATTGAACAAGATGCACGATGCCAGAAACAGGTTTGACAAGCGACCAGCGTCAGGTCGGCAGTTACTCAGCGGGGCACATCTCCAACGATCACACAGCCACCCAGCTCTTGATTGTGGACAAGACGTTCGGAATCCGAAACGCTGTTGGCGGGATCGCGTTCACTAGCGGATGGCGCGATTTTTAACCGTACATGGAAAGTGCTGCTGTTGAGCGTCTTGGAATCTCTTCAAAATGTGAATTGTTCAACCAAAGCTGAGGGCTTTAACTCACCTAAAGAAAGATTCAGCTTAACTACCATGACATCATTTTTGAATTTTTGTAAATGATGTGGCTATTTGACCTTTGAAAGTTATTTTCTGCATGCTCGGGATGGCAGAGCTTATAGGATCCTTAAGTATAGCCTGAGAAAGTAGCCGTTGAGGGAACCAAACAGCCGAAGTTAACTA